ATCCACCGCCCCCCCTGTTGAGCACAGTGGGGAAACTGTTTGGCAAGATGATAGACAATAGAATGGGAGACATGTTGGAGGGGAAACAAAAGATCAGCGAAGGACAAGCTGGATTTAGACCAGATCGTAGTTGTGTAGACCATGTATATACGTTGAGTAAAATCATCCAAGGTAGGAAAGACGCCGGGCGTACGACATACTGTTTCTTCCTCGATATACAAAAAGCCTACGACACCGTATGGCGCAATGGATTGTGGAAAAAGATGTGGGACATCGGCATCCGGGGGAAAATGTGGAGGATGTTGAAAAATATGACAGAATGCACAAGAAGTGCGGTGATGTTGGATGGGGAAATTTCGAAGTACGTGGATATACTCCAAGGAGTCGCACAGGGCTGTACGATGCCACCCACTCTTTTTAAGATTTACATCAACGATTTGATAAGGGCGGTTGAAGCAGTACGACAGGGAGTCCAAGTAGAGGGAAAGAGTGTGTCCGGACTGATGTTTGCAGATGATTTCGTGGGGGTATCCGAAACACCAGAAGGGTTGCAAGAACAAATAGATGCGGCGGTAGGATACACCCGAAAATGGAGACTGTCGGCGAACGTAGGAAAATACGCAGTAGTGGTCTGTAACGAAGATAAGAAAAATCCCGTAGAATTCAAATGGAAATGGGGGGAGGAAGAACTACCGGTAGTAGACAAGTATACGTACCTGGGAGTAGAGATTTCGAAGGAGTGCTCATGGGACGCACACATAGCGAAGTTGATTGGGAAGGGTAAAGCTCAGATAGGCAAGATGGACGAGATCCTTACGGACCCACACCTAGACACTAGGATTAAGAGGTGCATTCTCTTGAAGGTGATTGTACCTAAGCTAGAGTATGCAGGAGAGATATGGGAAGGTAACGAAAAGGCCGTCAAGCAGCTGGAAACGGTGCAGATGGCAGCGGCCAAGAAAATACTAGGATGTTCAAGTACAACGAGCAACACTGTATTGAGAGCAGAATTGGGAATGTACTCTCTTAAAACAAAGAGAGACATGCAGAAGTTGAAGTGGCAGTACAAGGTAAGTAGAATGTCGGACGATAGACTACCAGCCATGGTTGACGAGGCAGCTTGGGGAAAAGCGACTCCAGGGAAGAAGGGAATCAGATGGGACAAGGTGGTAGAGAAGGTTTGGAAGGAGATAGGAGACGAGGAGGAGACGTTGGACACGGAAGGGTTCGGGGGGTTCAAGACGAAAGTCAAGGAGATGCTAGAGAGTAGGGAGGAGACAACCCTTCGGAAGAAGGTACGAAGCGAAGACCACTTGGAGATATACGGGAAGTTGAAAGAAGGGATAGGGATGAAGAAGTACTTGGACGGCCCCATGGACTATGCGAAAAAGCTGAAATTGCAATTTCGAGTAGGCGATCTGGACTTGCCAGAACGGAGGAAGAGGTATACCAGCCGTAGGAGAGAGGAAGAGGAGGATAGACACACATGTCCATGTGGCAAATCGGAGGAGAGTAGACCCCACATAGTTGGGGAGTGTGAGTGGTACAGGAAGGAAAGAGAGGATCTCGAGGAGGAAATGAGACAGAGAGGGTGTGACATGGACAAGTTTGGTAAATTAGACAACAGCGAAAAAACGATCGCGATAATTGGGGATAGATGGTGGGCACAAGAGGCCCTAGAGGACGGGGATAAGATGTGCAAGAAATTTTTATGGAGTTTGTGGCA